GGTTGGCTAGAAGGCAAAAGATTCCCTGAGTAGAAGGCATTTGTTTTCCCCAGAACATCTTAGAGTCTTTCCTGAATTGACTGGCCTAGATCTCAATATCTATTTTGATATCTATTGACTAACATTTATCTCTCTCTTCTTCTCTCCCTGCCTCCCTCTCTCCCTCCTTCCTTCTTTCTTCCTCTTTAATTAATATTAATACTTCTTACAATATCCAGCTCCATTCTTCCCATAACAAGCCAGAAAAATGGGAGGATTTGGGTTAGAGGTAGATTCATCGTCTAGAATAGTGAGGACTAAGGGATGAGGATGGAAAGACATTAATATTTTTTAAAAATGGAACACTCTCCCTCAGCTGCTTTAATTGTAGATAATATTCCATAATTTTCAAGAGTTCATTTAAGATGTCCTGGATTTGCAAGCAGTTTCATGATCTATCTCTCAAAGTTTACTTCTTCCCTGGACACTTGTCAGATCATTCTTATACACAGCGAGCTCTTCAGTCATCCTCATGTGTATTTATTTCATGTGACACTTATTGTATAATTAGATGTATATGTACATTTCTATCTAGATCAGGAATTTATTAAGATTAAAAATTTAATCTTACATATCTTTGCTTCCTTCTCAATACTTTCAGAATAACCTACAAAACAGGACTCAGTAAATACCTACTGAACACAGGTATTTTACTTTGAGATGAGGGGAAATAGAACAAATGCAAATTTTTTTGTTTGAAATTTGTAAGTTCATTTCAGTTGTCTTAAATAATATCAAGATAGTTTCAGTAGACAGTCAACTACATTGTATTATATTAAGCTTGATTTTTAATATTTGCAATAAATCTGCATGTTCTACCGTACTATAAAAATTTATTAATGGTTCGCTTTTCACCAGGAGCAATGATCTAAAAGAATCACTTTTTAAAGTTCACTGTTTAATTCCTTTATCTTTTATATTATTTCTTTCCTTGTTCTTCAGAAGTTTGAGATAGCAGCCCATGGGGAAAAATGGCACTCAATTTATAAACTCAGAAAAATAAAATTAGAAATCCTTATTAAAGTCTATATAAGGAGTAAAATGGAATATGATACATTGGGTTGGAAGGGCACAGGTTGAAGAAGTGATAAAGAGTAACATTTCTGAGGAAAAAAAATCAATAAAGTTGTTACAGTACTTTTTCCATGCCTTAAAAAAATGGGTTTGTAGTAACTTGTGTTCAGTTTGTGTTCTCTAATAACACAAACTTGCGTAAATAGTGATTTATACACTTAGAAACTTACATGATTATTTTCTCCAAGGAACCTGAAGGACAGTAGTGTTAAATAATTTATTCATGACCACACTGATAGCAATTAAGTAAACCAGACTGTAATCTATCTTTTGAATATCAAGTCCTTGGTCTGTAAACTCCATGTATATAATTTTAAAAATAACTGTATTAATCCTCTTTGAGAGAAATATCTAGTTTTCCATTAATTTTCTTTGTTCAAATGTACTTATTATTTTTTAAACCTGAACTGTGAAGAGCCTCAGTTTGTCCTCTTTTCTCTGAAATTCACCATGCCTTAAGTAAAGTTTTATATAGTCGCAGTTTTTATGGAGTTTTTGTAGGGCATATTTTATTTCAACTTAGTTTAATTTAACTTATCATTACACTAGCCTCTTTTCTTTTAAATATTTTTCTTTTATTTTGCAATTATAATGGATTTTTAGTAAGAAAATAAAGGAAATAGCATTTGTTGATGCTTATTATGCACCAAACATCTCCCTGAATGATTTTGTAGACATTGTTTAATATAATACATTCAAATAAAGACATCTCATAATTCAACATTCACTCAACAAATATATTAGTAAATGACTACGATAAAACAGATATTGTGCTACAATCTGGGGATACAAAGAGAAATAAAATGTATTTTCTGATTATATAGGGTTCTTTCCAGTCAGAAAGAGTAGAGAGGGCAGATAAGGATCAAAATATTGCAGCTGCTATGATAAAAGTATGTAAGTTAATTATTCATTGATTAAATGGTACAACTGGCACTTTTAGGTGCTAGGGAAATGGCAGTGAATAAAAGACACAAACCTTTTCCTTAACAGAACCAATATTCTAGTAGGGATCCTGAGGAGCATAAAAGACCAATCATCTGGGGTCACAAAAGCTTAAATAGGAAAGGTAACATTTCTTTCTGGTCTGATTTAAAAGAACAAGCAAGCTCTAATTGGCAGAGAAATGGCTACTAGAAATCTTTGGAGCATCATTTATATATCAAAATGATTGAGTGAACATTGAAGATAGAGCTACTTTTCAATTTGTAACCTCATACCCTTGAAGTAATGCATACGGTGTGTTGTGAGTGGCTAGTTTCCACTATCAGGGTCCTTTCTGGAGCCAGTCAGTTCCTAAAGCTGTCAGTTCTCTACGTCTGTACTTCCATGAAAGGTAAATTCATTTAAAGCTAAGTAAGGTAGAATGGTACAATTTGTCTCACTTGATTCAGTAGTAATGTGTTCAATTCTGTAATGTACGTTAGATCAGAACAGATTTTTCTTTCTTAAATGGAAGACTCTCAAGGATGTCGAACTTGTTTTTTCTGTTGTTCAGTCTTTCTAGCATAATCTAAATGTGCTGTATCCATCTTATTCTTTCCTTGTGCAGAGATATTCCCTGGAAGTTATCTATGCATTAACTTTGCTGAACCATCAAAATTTAGGACAAACTATTTTCATAAAATGGCATTGAGTAAGTTATTCAGGGGCTAGATTTTCTAGATGAGCTAAAATACCCATTCTTGCAACCTCATTTTGTTGTGAAATCAAACGAGATAATTAATGAATGTGAAATGCACTTTGGAAACATCAAATGCCAAAACCTTGTGAACTCCTACAATTGATTTTATTCTTATTGTTAATTTCAGTGAACAGGGAACTACATATTAGCCTCAAGCATTATTTCTCCTTCTACCACAATTTTTAACTAGATTGTGGAACATTGAAAATTAGCAAAAATGACTATGTTCTCTAAGAACATTTCATGTAATCCTACCTGTGAATCTCTTTGTAGCCCTTATGAAACTACTTATCTCTTTACATGCTTTTATTTGTCATCAGATTTTTTTCCTAAACATACTTTATTGAACCTACTTTGCTTATTTGGTAAACAATTATTGAATTTCAACACCATGCTGGGCACTAAAGATATTGAATTGTAAAACAGTCTCCATCAAAGGAAGGAAGGTGAGAATAAACAATTATCATTATTTTAGAAGTTGGTAGTTCTATGACAAACATATTTAATGTATCAGCTATACATATAACCTAGTGTTCCTTTTCTTTGCATGTCAACTCTCTGTAATTTTTCTTAAATATGTATAGAATAATCTGAGTAGCATATTGAAATCAAGATTCTTGGCTCCGCCCCTAGAAAGAATCAATAGTTCTGGGAATCTGCATTTTCATAGGGACCAAGTATAATGGGAACTGGTAACCCTTGGACTTTACTTAAGAGAGTCCTTTTGCGATGTTTCCCTTTTGCCCAGGACTTCTCCTAGTGAAGGCCTCAGGAGGCCTCCATTCATCACACCATCTGTCTGTCTCAATGTCATCCTTTCAAACTGCCAATTTAGGTTATCCAGCTCTACCTTCCTTCATTACCTTGACTTGAAGTGATCCTCTGTAGTGATGTGCCAGTCTTGTTGAAGTCAGTTGTACCTAGTCTCTGAGAATGATACCAGTAATTGTTGTCTCACTTAAAGGCTGATTCTAATGGTGAGATACCTAGAAGAAGATGCGAGGGAATGCCCCTCTCATGACATAGTGAGAGAATTTTTAAAGAAAGTCTTGAATCACATCAACTGAGAAGTGCTTACCCATAGGGAAATACTGAACAAGTATTAATCATTTAATCCTCTATAAATAAATCTATGAAGCAGGTACTATTATTACATTATTATTGCATTACTACATGAAGCAGGTACAATTATTATATTCGTTTCATAGATGAGGACACTGAGGCTCAATAACTTTACCAGTATCTCATAGATACTAAGTGGTAGAGCAGATGTAAACTCAAGTGGACTGGCTCTAGACTTCAGTGGACAACTATACTAGTGTTGCCTTTCTCTTAGTCAAAGGTATATCCTGTGGAGCCTTTGCTACCACCATTCTTTTCAGAATGACTTTTAGTAAGTTATGCTAACAACTGGAAAAGAAACAAAAACAAACACAAACCTCCAAAGTAAAACAAAACAATGCAAACACTACATAAAATAGTTTTTAGTGTATTCTTAGGTCAAAGATATATTTCAACCTCACATTTCAGGACATTTCTAATGAAAAAAAAAAAAAAAGAACCCAATATACACATGACAACATATAGTAACATATCTCAGGTTCTCAAGAGAAAAGATCACAATTCAATTTTTATTTTCTTCCCTGAAATACAGTTTACTCTCTAGTGAACATAAATTTTTGAGTCAGAAAGATCACACTTCTAATTCTGTCCTGTTATTTACTTGCTTGATAACCTATGACAATTTTCTGACCTTATTTAGTTCTCATCTTCTGTGAAATGTGACAAGCAAGTTTTGGTCAATATTAAAGACATAGTGCCTGGAATATAGCAATCCTTCAACAATCAGTACTGTACATATTTACCATTATTATTATTATGAGCAGTTATAAACTTAATTTAGTAGAATATAAAAACAAGTTTAGACAGAATGCTTTGGGCAAAATAAATATATTCTCAAAGTTTACTTGATACTGAATCTTTTTCCTTGGACAGGTAAGGTTCAAATACATATACCCTTGCTTTTTCCAAGTGACCAAAAAAAAAAAAAAAAAAAGGAGAGAGAGAGAGAACAGTCAACGACAATTTCCTCTTCCTTCTTCAGTGGTCTGTCTGGTTTATAACTTAGAGTCCTGATGGGAAAATGCTTAATTTGCTCCCGTGAGAATGTCTCTTCTGAGATGGGCTCATTTATCTTCACCAGGTGATCAACCCAACACTCATCAACTGTTAGCCATGGCGTCACGCCTGCGGGAGAGTGCTGAACTTTTTCAGTCTGATGAGATGCGACCTGCTAATGATCCCAAGGAGAGAGCATCCAACCGCATCCGGATGCTGAATGACATTCTCCAAGACATGGAGAAAAGCTTTCTGGTGAAGCAGGCGCCGCCAGGTTTTTATAGGTAGGATGCATGTCTCAAAAATTATATTTTTCGCCCTAAATTAAATGTTTATGTTTAACTTTCAGAATATGTACCTTCTATGAACGTAACAGTATTTAAAAAGAAACTATAAAGCAGTTACTCATTTGAGGAACTTCCCCCCGCAAAGAAAAATTAAACTGCAGAAATATAAAATAACAGAAACTTGGCTTAGCAGTAGCACAGAGAAAATGAGTAAGAATTGTCTTACATTAGTTTCAATAGGAGTCAAATGTGATATGGCCAATAAAAAAGCAAATAGAATTATACGTTGCACTGAGAGAAATGTACTTTCTTGACTAGATCAGGGAATAGGTCCATGCTATTTTTTCCTATGAAGATCCCATCTAGATTAATGTATTTAATCCTGGAAACTACATTTTTATGTTGGCGTTCAATAAGTTTAATATTTAGGGGAAAGTGGGATTTAGACGGATATTGAAACAACTGAAGAATTAGGCTTGTTTGGTTGGAGAGTCACATGGAATGCTCTCTGAAAACATATTAACAATTACATGGAAGGGAGATTAGATACAGATTCAGAGAATACTATGAGTACAGTATGGCTTTGTTTTTGAAGTTCCTTATATAGAAGATAAATGAAGAAAACATGAAGTTTAAAAGATTATGGTACCCATCAATCATCATAAAACCACGTCATTAAAACCACAATGAGAAACCATCTTACACCAGTCAGAATGATTATTATTAAAAAGTCAAAAAATAACAGATGGCGAGAAAGTGGAGAAAAAGTAATGCTTATACATTGTTGGTAGGAATGTAAATTAGTATAGCCTTTATATATACTTGGAAAACAGTATGAGATTCCTCAAACAACTAAAAATAGAATTACCTTTCAACCCAGAAAGCTAATTTCTGGATATCTACCCAAAGGAAAACAATTTTTTATATCAAAAAGATGCTTGCATTCATGTTTATCACAGGACTAGTCAGAATGGTGAAGTCATAGAATCAACCTGAGTGTCTAACATATGATTGGATTAAAAAATTTGGTATATGTACTCTATGGAATACTAAGCAGTCATCAAAAGGAATGAAATCATGTCTTTTGCAGCAACATGGATAGAGCTGGAGTCCATTATCCTAAGTGAAATAACTCTGAAACAGAAAATCAAATACCACATGTGCTCACACATAAGTTGGAGATCAATAATAGATACAGATGGATATACAGAGAGAAACAGACACTGGAAAGTGCAAAAGAGGGAGACTTGAAAAGTCACATACTAGATACACTGTTCACCATTTGGGTGATGGGTACACTAGAAGCCCAAACTTCACCGTTACATAATATGTCCATGTAACAAACCTGCACATATACCTCCGGAATCTCTACACATTTTAGAAAAAGATTATGGCATATTTAAACAGTTTTTATTTAACTTATAATTCTATGAGACACAACATATAAATACATACTCTTCTGTTTAATATATACATATGTAATGTGTGTATTATATGACATATGTAGTATATGTATATGTGTATATATAGTATACATATGTATATATATGTGTATATGTGGGTATGTGTGTGTATGTATGTATAATTTTATGTAGTGTGGAAGTCTAAATTTGTGGCCCTTTAAGAATGAAAGTTCTGGCATAAACAGTCCTCCTACTCCATTCTTCCCCCAATATCTCTTTGCCTCCTGCTTCTTCTCATGACATACCCTGGTCTACACATACTATGTATAAACAAAGGTTTTAACTAGGACTAAAGAATTGATGTACAGGTATAGAAATCTTAATTACATATGAGAAAAAAGTAAAAGAATAAATGTTTTGCTATTATAAAGTAGCAAAAGCCTTATCACTGCAGACATTAAACAATAGGCTGGGTGGCCCTAAGCACCTGAATATTTGGACCACATGAGGTTTAAGGTGCCCATTAGTACTAAAGTTCTGTGACCTCACATGTCACTTAATCTTTCAACATCTTAATTTCCAGATCTATGAAAGGAGATGGTGGAATGAGACTCCTTTATAATAAAAGCCGTTTTTAAAGCCTGATATTTGATAATTTTCCTTTATGATTTTAAACTCATAAAGGTATGAGTTTAAAGATATGGTTAAGACACTTTGTAAGCTCCTTGTATTTTTTTAAGCATCAGGGACATAGCTGTCACCTTAAGTTACCTTCCCTGATGAGGTATATTCTAGTGGTGGGAATGGGGAAACAGAATGAACAAAGTAATTAAATAAATATAATGATGCTAGATGTAATAATTGCTGAGGAGAAAAATCAAACCACATTTTAAAATCTAGCATTATTAAAATGTCATAAAGTAGATAACTTAGGTTTTTTATATATATATTGTAAATTATTCTATTTACTTTTAAGAAAAATTCAGAAATTATTACAAATTATATGGAAAGAACATAGTTTTGTATAATATAGTAAGCTTTCCCCATTTGTCTTTTTTGGCACTTGCACTGGAAATGGAAGACCCTTCTATGTTCTAAATTATACATCTGGTAAACTTTTTATTATCCTTTCAAAAATGTTTATGAACTCAATTTACTTGATCATGTATTTTGAGTAGAAAAGTAGATATTTGTCTGCCCCTGAGTTAAAAATGATTAAACATTTTCTTCCTGTTAGTAATGTAATTACATATACCATGTGTTTTCATTATGCAAGCCTCAAAGTATTGATTATAATAATGTGCTAACTCATATAACAAACTTTAGGAGTGAAAGTTTTTGGTTCACTATTTTGAAATTGTGCTAAACTATTACTATAGTTATTGAAGGGATACATGTCTGCCGTTCTTTTCCTTAGCTCTATTAATTCATGTTAATTTATTAATTTATATATATTAATTTATGTGTGTATACATATATATACTATAACAGTGTAAATATATGACTTTCATTTAGATGTATCTGACTGACCTTTATCTCAAAATTGTCACAAATTTGTACTTCATTTATAAAATATGTAACAAATCATCCTACTTCATGTTTTTTCTTGATAGCTAATTCACATTTCTAAAAATTACTGATGCAAACATTTCAAAATTACAATAGGATTTACACTCTCAATGCTTATAAGCACATTCTCAATGGGGAAGGAAATATTCAAAGTAAAAATTTGAGTTTAAGCAAATGAAAAGTAGATTGATTATTTATAGCGATAATTATATAGAGATAAAATACAATTGTTAATAATATTGTACAAAAGAACATTTGGTGAACAGGGTTCAATTTCTTTTTAATGTTAAACAGTCTTTAGAGATGTTATTCACATAAGAATCTCACTTTTTAACCCATTGGACATACAGAATTCTCATCTAATACACAAGAAAGAAGTGAAAAATGATTTGCATTTTAAGAAAGTTCTTGACAGAACTTTACTGTATAAAGCCAAATACTTCATTTTGCATTTAGATCATAACCCAAAAAATATCGTCTCAATAAAAGTGCCACTAAACATTGCAAAATATTATTTTTGGAATATGCAGAATAATATTCCCAGTAATCTGGAAACAGAGGATTCAAAGATTTTGAATCCTATGATGTTGCATCTAAAGCTGGCTCCTCATTGAACGCTGCTCTGTGCAATACTGCTGGAAACTGGCAATATAAGATCCCTACCTTCAAGGAGCTTAATTTAATTCAAGAGCTAAAATACATAAATTATATATCAAATACAAGTACAGAATACTTAGTCAAAGTACCCAATGAATACTACAGCCAAGAAGTACTTTTGTGATTCAGTGAAGAGAGAAAGTATTGTCTTGTGGAAGTCAAGAAATACATTTTTTTTTTTTTTTTTTTTTTTTTTTTGAGATGGAGTCTTGCTCTGTCGCTCAGGCTGGAGTGCAGTGACGGGATCTTGGCTCACCACTACCTCTGCCTCCTGGGTTCAAGCGATTCTCCTGCCTCAGCCTCCGGAGTAGCTGGGATTACAGGCACATGCCACCATGCCTGGCTAATTTTTGTATTTTTAGTAGACACAGGGTTTCACCATGTTGGTCAGGCTGGTCTCAAACTCCTGACCTCATGATCTGCCTGCTTCGGCCTCCCAAAGTGCTGGGATTCCAGGCGTGAGCCACCATGCCCAGCCACAGAAGACTTTATAGGGAAAGAGAAAGATGTATATGGGCTTGAGGGAATGATAGTATGCCCATTAAATTAAGGTGCATTTCCAGGACGACAGTTTGAAGAAAGACACAAAGGAGAAGTTGTGTGTGGTGTGCTCAAGAGTGAAGTACAAAAGGTAGACTAGTTTGAATAGTCATTGGGTTCATGGTTATGCAAAGGTAGGTAAGATCAAGTTGTGGAGTCCCTTAAATGTTCTGTTGAGAGGTTCGGGCTTTATTTTTCAAGGACACAAAAAAGCCATGGAGAAATATGTGTTGTTAGGAGGATTTATCTGGTGTTCCTGAGAGGGTGTACTGGAGTCAGGAGAGAGCAGAAACCTTTAGGGAGAATATGGGAGTAGGAAAGGCATGGGGTGAAAAGAACATGATTTGACATGTTGGTGTCAGGAATGAAGAGCCAAGGGCCAATTTAGGAGGTGATGTTTAGGAAGAATTGGTTAATTTAGTGATTGCGTGGCTCTAAGAATCTCGTTGCAGGTTGATTTTAGAATTCCTCTAGGTCCAGGTGGGAAAACAGGATTGAGTACTGGAAAGGGCCTCTTCTCTTCCCCATTTATCTAGCCATTTAGGTAAAGCACTCTGTGTCTACATGTAACTATATGAAGCTCTGTGGATAAAGATAATTTCTAAAGTCATTTCCAGCTCTACAGACTATTAATTCTCACAACCTCTGTTTTCAAGGGGCATCTAATTCTGAGTAAGGGGAGAGGGAAAGGGCACCAGGATGCACTGCAACGCCATAAATGGAAAAGCTGTGAAGTACATTGGAAGTACTGAACTTGGTCAGTAGTGGGGAGCCAGCAAAATATTATCTATGTTCAGGGGCCACGTCAGTGAAAGTATGTTGAAAATT